AAACATAAAACAACAACTTATAATCGATCATTCTTTCTTCGAACAACTAGAACTTGGAACTCTCTCCCGGAGCATTTAAGGCTTATTAATCTATCTTTTATTCAATTTAAGAAAGGAATATTAGCATACTACTTGACTGCATTACGATCCTGCTACAACGTTGACGATTCACGAGCTTGGAAGACTGTCTGTGTCAAATGTAACTCATGCAGAAGTCTCATCCGACCATTAACTTGCTGTTACTAGAGGGGCGTTTGCACATTGCGATTTGTCCTGTGCGATTCGGGTTCTGGTGTATGAAATTCATTTGATGCCTCAATTCCAAAAATCTACCCTGGTTCCAGAGGATTTAAAGTTTCGCTTCAATTCAGATTTTTGGTACCCTGGTTCCAGAAGTTTATTTTTATTATTTTCATTGTTTCCTCTCCCCTTCGCAATGAAAATAATAAAAATAAACTTCTGGAACCAGGGTACCAAAAATCTGAATTGAAGCGAAACTTTAAATGCACAATTGACGCGTGCCTATACTCGATTGGATTCGCCAAAATACGAGTCGTACACGGCGGATCGCGGTGTGTAAACATACCTTAAGTAAACTAAGTATAATTACATAGGTGATTATTGAAAATTTTCCACGCAGATTGGTTGCCGTTGAGGTGATTATAACGCGATAATCACCTAAGCGATTTTCGAAATATTGTAGCGGCCGTCGGCCGAAGCCGTTTTGACTATTAAATGACGAAGAAATGTGTATCTCTATCTATCTTCCCAAATAACCACCTATGAAATTATACTTTGCCCGCGCGGGCAAAGCGAACGTTAATGGAAAACGGCCTTTAATAGAGTACAAGTGTATGGGCTAATAAACGAAAAATGTACCACAAGCATGGCATGAGCCGGCTATTACGTAACATAAATACGGGCTTGTTACTATAGATTTTAAATCACGGAACCGAGGGGAATCGATAGCATTTTGGCTTAATCGTTGCATTCTGAGCCTACGATGAGCTAACACAAACTCGATTTCTCGACGACGAAGAAAACAGAAAGAGAGGGATTTAAGACACTTGGCTTACAGGCCAGTGTAATTAT